CAACATGGGCCTCTCTGACCGGGGGGTAACCCGCGTTATGGCACAGCACTGGACAAGAGCCGCAGTCTAACCGCTGCTCCCGTGGGCAACAACGTTTACTCACGTTGGTGTCCGCTGCCGTGGGTGCAAACAGTTTCTAAAATTGACAGTAATTTTGAGGTGGCATTATTCGCTTCTGTGGGCCTATCTATGAAGGCTAGAGCGAGGTGGATACCGAAAGATGCATACATACTCGCCACCTATTTGGTTGCTTTTATAAACCCCAAGCGAGGGTTTGGTGATAAATAACTGCAGTAACTACAATTGAAGATGATCTCAACGGTGAGGAGGCGTTCCAAATATGCCTCGGTCAAATACTTATGAGAGAGAAAAACAAACTGACACTCACCAGTCTCCTCTTTGGTTTAATTAAGGGTCGATTTTGTCCGTTCATTTTCTGGTAGAGGCCACAGGCGTTGCAGAGGTAATTGCCCTGTCCATCACGGCGCCATAGCGGAGTCGTTGTAGCGCCGCAGTTGACACATTCACGTCCCTCTGCAAGAAAATGAAAAAAAACATGCTCAAATAAGTCTACAGTGTGGGGAATCCATTTGGATAATTACTTAGCCTGTCCATAGCCTGGAACATATTTAACAAATACAGCAGCGATGCCTGGTAAAAAATGCAAGGTAAAGGGAGGATTTCCTGTTGCAAAACAGAACTTCAGAGTTTAATCCGAACTTTCGTAGATGAAAGCAAGGAAGATGCATCCCTCCGTGTTGCGTACTTTCCTTTTACTTTCGTGATCGACAAGGGGGTTGCAAAAGCAGTACTTATAATCATTCAATCTTTCCCAACATAATGTGTGCCTGTAGGTTCTATTCCTGCTGGCGTGTAGGGAGTTTTCCTCTACTTTAATCACAGTATTTGAATCTGCCAATTACAGACAAGAATTGCCAACACTTAAAATGTGGCATTTCATCTACCGCTCGAAGATAACTCGCAGTTCAGTGTTGAACTTAGGTTTACTGCGTAGCTGTCATTACCAGGTATAGGAATGGGGTCACTAAGTTAAATTAACCTAACTATCACTCCAAGTATTATACAGATTAGGATCACTTGTTAATTCATTTCATATAAAGTTAAAATAAATCGAGTACAAGTATAGAGTTTTACTATAGCATTATTAATAAAAATGAAGGAGACTGTCTTGTTCACTGTAGTCTGGCAACTCTGCCCCAATGTAAACTGGCAAACACAATAGTCGTTCCTCGCTGTGGTGGAACTTGCAGGTAAGACAGACATGTTCTGTTCTGCAGTCAGTGCTCCCGAGTGTATTTCGCGTCAAGTATAAGCGTTGGTTCAGTATAAGTTTCACATTGAGAGAATTCTCTAATCAGCTTGCCATTCATTCATTTATTGACATTCTTCTAGCTGTGTATTATCTAGTGACTCGACAATACTACTAATATCTACAAAGGCAACTGTTCTACCCTTAAAAATGAACTAAATATTCTAGGGACTAGCTGACATGAATGCCATCTCCTGCGGACTCTCGGTAATCTTGGTAACCTCAGTCCGAACGCGGAGTTGCCCTTTACGTCATTATAAGGTCACAGCTTGCAGATGCAGTGCAATGCAACAGAATCGCAAAAGCGGCAGTTAGTCGTGAACCAGCATTCATCAAAGACTTCAGATGATATGTACTATTTCCCCTTTGGTAGGAGAGGATAGGATTCAAAGACAAGGAAACCTCGTTTATTCTATCCCTTTTATATCTTAATATCGGTAATTTAACCGATTGGACTGTCGTCTACCTTCCAAATGCTGAAATTCGAGGATAATTTATCGCCAAAATTTTATCAGGTATCCATGCCTAGTCCTCAGTTCAGCACTAATATCTAGCTGTTAAAAAAGGGACTGCCGGCTAGTCTCACTGTGTCACATAGACGTCTGAAAGTCAAACAGCTTGCAGCTTGAACACAGTAAAACAGTTCGGGAAATTTCCGCTTACTTCTCCACCCCTAAAAAAAACTGTTATATGAACGTGAACGCTCAACTTTCCGTTAGGTGTAGTCAGGTGAACCCTATGCACTTACCCGCAGACACTTCTAGTGACGATAAGAGAGAAAATTTGCTTTCAACTAAGCAGTTGTGATGAAAGAGGGCGCATTTACTGGAACAAGAACTTTTGTTTGTCTGACGTTTTGGATTGACATTCAAACCCCTCACCAACATCGTCAACATCACGTTATTATTATGCTGATGATGATTATGATAATATATTCGAGCATGAATCCGAAACGTCAGATGAATATAACTCTTCGTCCAGCCATCGAATCTCATCCGTTTTAAATTCTAGTGAATACCAATTTAAGCATTTCCAATATTTGGAGTTGTCAGTCTAATCGTTATAAATCTAGCTGAACATGTTTGTGCCACAAATATTTCATATCCTCCCAGTCTGCCCATCTTTCTATTCAACGTATAGGAAGAAGAGCATCAGTAGCCTCTAAGAGTTGCTTAAGAAAGGTTAAATGTTCTACTCCAAAGACCAGACCACGAAAGGGTAAGCGTTCCTTATAGGCAACACCGTAGTTTCCCATAACATAACTAACTAAACTAAAGTATAACTAATAAAACTACACAATAAACTAGAAACTAAATTAAACTAAAACTATACTAACTAAACTAAGCGACACCGGCCTAAACTAAAATAACCAAAGTAAAAACTAAACTAAGCTAAATAAACTACAATGAAATAAGTAGTTAACTATAGGCAGAAGGACATTACCAGCAAAGACAGAGGACACTAGGAAGGCCTTT